TTTTTTATTTTTTATTTTTGGAAAAAGGGAAAATTTTGAGAAACATGCATATTTGACGGAAAACTTCCGAGATTTTGAGGAGATTTGATACAAAAAATAGGGAAATTCCCAAATCTTTTCATAAGATTTCCTCAAAATCTGAGGAGTATTTCTGCGGAACTTTCCTCAAAGTGTGCCCTTTTCCCTCAAAAAATCGAACATTCTTTTTACCGTGTGGTGCATCAAATCGGAGAATACTCCTCGGAGCTGCCTCTTGGGCAGCAGGGGGACCATGTTGTCTTGCGGGAGAGGAGACGGAATAGGCGAGCCCGCTACACCGAGGTGTATTCTGTTGTGCAACCTGGGACACAACAGCTGGCGGGCGGGCTGCTGGCGCCGTGCCGTGCAGACGTGATCGTCTTGGGTATGCTGTCCCGCGTCGCACGCGCGCCGTGCGGTTGCATACCCTCGCGGGGCCTCGAGGAGCCAGGCCCAGAGCGTGTGCTCAGTTGCTGTACCCTTCGAAAGCGTTCGGCGAATTTCACTGTAAGCTGCAGGAAATCCTGAAGCACTTTCGGGGGTATTATAGTTATGCAGGTTCGGTGCACCTCACAGTGAAATCCGCCGTAAGCTTTAATTAGTGCGCGTTGCCCTTCCGCCTGCCTGTCTGTGCACTTAGACCCTCTTCTTCCTCCAACGGTAGTTACCACCAGGCGGCGCTGCTGGTGCTGCTCGGTCGCGCGGTATTTTCAAAAGGAGAAATAAGGCGCAGCTGCAAATGATTGGTGCGCACGCGATGGGGTCCAGACCCGGATCGGAGGGGGGGGGGGGGGGGCTTGCAAAGAATCTGTTGTACTGTTGAACTGCATGACGAGCAGTGCGCTGCGCCATCGCCTTCTGATGATGAGGTGTTGAGCGTCACACCTCTTCGTCCTCACCCCCCACCCCCCCTCAGGCTTTATCACGAGAAAGGTTGAATGAAATCCCTCCCTTCTCTGCTTTTCCAGCAGAAAGGTGATTATGGCGAGGATGTATACCCTATTACACTGCATAGCAGAATAGAGGAAAGGGGGGGGGATGAGAAGAGGGATGGGGAGAGGTGTACAGTATACTCGAAGCTAATTTCGCCACACAGCGTGCGGCGACAAGGCCTGCGTGACCTGCCACGACAAACATGGCGCTTCCACCACAATCCGCACTCTCTTCATCATCTGCCGCGCCGCGCAGCGCGCGCCTTTATCCACGCATAATTCACGGCGTCGATGCCGTCTATACGTCAACGTCAGGGGCTCTACCCCCCGCTCTACCCATCGGGCTCGCCCCGCACCCCTTCCACCACGCCCCGCGCGCTCTCCTCTGCAAGCTCGCTACTTCATCCCCGGGCATTATCTCTCGTTTGACGTGTTCAAGAAGTCCGTTGCCGCCGCCGCTGCCCCGGCCGCGCTCATGGATACACAGCGGCAGCAGCCAGGGCCGCTCCCCCCTTTGCGCCCTCGAGCACGTCCCGCCGATGATGGATGCAGCCGATTCGCTTCGCAGGATCACCGCGAGATGGCGCACCGGATCATGACCGCGCCCAGAGCGCTCACGGCCCGCGGTGCTGCGGGTGGCGGCCGCTCGCGGTGTACGCCGCGGCGCGGGGACGCGGCGACATGTCGGGAGGGAAAGAGAGAGAGAGAGAGAGAGAGAGAGAGAGAGAGTCGCAAAGGGGGGAGCAGGAGCATTGGCGGTGACGGGAGGGTCGGAGGGTTCAGCGGCGTTGCAGCAGCAGCCTCAGCCTGCCCTGCTTACGTATGCACTGGCTGAGAGGACGGGCTCCCGTTGGAAGGGAATTCCATGGCAGTTTGCTGTTTCCACGCAGGTTTTATTCCAGCAGTTTCGTCTGTATGGTTTTCCTCTCACTCACTGCACTCACTTTTTCCAGCGCAATCGCTATACACCGCGCCGCTTTTCCTCGTAGAAAGATGAATGGTCGATGACAGGGGGTTGTATGGGGGGGTTGGTGGTAGAAAACCTCGTTTCCGACCCCCCCCACCGCCGGCGCTCGCTCCGCTAACGAATCTCATTAAAGGCGGCGGGCGCCGCTGCACTCCCGGGAGCACTCCCGCGAGCACTCCCGCCGCTCCCGGCCGCGCAGACTGCACCGGGGGATGGCGCGGGATCAATACCTTGCGCGGGGCCGGCGGGGCGGCGCGGGGCGGCACATCATCGGCGTCCCCTCACCTGACGCGCGCCGGCGGCTCCCCGCTCCCCGCCTTTCACGAATGAAAAATTCAGCGCGCGGTGGAGACAGGAGGGTAACAGGCTGAGAGCGTGAGTAGTTGTCCCCGCCGCCGCTGGCAGCAGCAGCCGCGCAGCCGCACTCGCAGTAACTTTTACCCTCTGCCGCGCGCTTCGCTTTCCGCCCCGCCGAGTTGAGCAGTTTTTACGCGCAGCGCGCCGTGTTCGACCAGAGTTCAATATATACGAGCAGAGGGTTCCGGAGAGGGGGGGGGGGTACCATAAACACGGACAAACAATTGCCCATTTGCATTCCTTTTTTTACGTTTTTCGCGTTTTTCCCTATCCCCCACCGCTGCCCGCGATGTTTCGCAAATTTTGATAAACTTGGCCACCGCGGCCTAATTCACCTCCGCCGGACCGTAAATCGCACCGCTCGGCATCGTTTTCCTGTAGATTTTTTTTACATTATTATTGTTATTTTGTTGTTCTCTTTTGCCGGCTCGGCGCGGCTCGCGGGGGTAACTATATAACCCGTGAAACTAGTAATATAGTAGCAGTCATGAAAGAACGATAGTTTTTGAGCGACGGTTATGATTCAGTCCCCGCTGCGCTCGCGCTGGCCTTTCCGATATTGGAAACATCTCTGGCCTGGCTGGCCAATGAGTTTGGCCGGCGTGTTATTCCGTGTCGGGATGGTACAGTAAATCGCGGCTAAGCCGGGCTGCAGCCGCGCGGCCTCGCGCCGGGGTGCATCACGGTCGTTGTTGTTGTTGCTGTTATTGGTCGCTGCATTCCCACTCTCGTGCGTCCCATTCCAAATCCGAAGAGCGTGTTGGAGGCGGAGTGCGGGGGTGCTAAGAGCGTTTTCGTGACAAGTGACGCGAATGATGGAGGGGGTGGGGAGTACGGGGACGGGGTGTTTGGGCGTAATCAGCTTTATAATTATTGACTGTGATTCGTTCCGAGTCTACGTCTGCTGCATGCGATGGGCGGGGCGGGGCGGGGCGGCGGCGCCAAGGGGTTGGAGTGTGTCGCACCCATTTGGAGGATTAGACTCCCGCGGCGTGGCGGACTTTGCCTTCTAAATAACCGAAGCCGTCGCCAATAGGGGAAGGAAGAGGAGGGAAGGGACAATTATTGAAAGGGAAGGCGGCGGCGCCGCCGCCAGTTTTTTTTTCCCCCTTTTTTTTACACTTTTTACTTTATTTTTGGCCGTTGTTGTCGCATTGTGTTTCTCTTTGGCTGTGTATCGAAAGGGAAATAATTATCAGCAGGCTTTTGCTATGGGCGCGCGCGCGGGCCGCTCGGCTGAAAGGCGCAAGGCGCAGCCCGGCGCGCACAGATTCAGATGAGAATGGCGATCTCTCCTCCTCCTCCTCCTCCTCCTCATCCGCTCCATTCCGTTTCATTGTCCGCGCCGCCGGTGCCGCCCGGCGTAGCCCAATGCGAATGTGTCTCCGGCCGACTGCGAATGTGAATGCGAATCCAACGCAATGAGCAGCCGGCGGGGCTTTTGGTTGTGCCGCGGGGCGGGGCGGGGCGGGGAGGGCGTTCCTCTCCGAAGGTACGGGGGAAAGAAAAGTTAAATTTATCTTTATTTAGGCCCGCCTCGTGGGCGGCGCCCCGCCGCTGCTGGCGGCCTCTGCAGGCCGCACCGGGCGTCAAGTTGCGTAATTTGTAGGAAGATCCCCCCGGGAGGTCGGGTCCTAGTCGGGGGAGGGAGGGAGAGGAGGGGAGGGCCCGTATTGGTGGCCGCACGCCGTGTACATGGGGCGGAAAGGTGTTTATTTGGTTTGGCTCCAGGGAGGAACCGGGGCGGGGGGGAGGGGTTGGTGGGGCGGGGAGGAGGTGCAGCAGTGTTTCGTAGACGGCGCGGCGGCGGTCCGAAGGGAGACGAACTGGGGGCAAGTCCCGAGCTGTAAAACAGTATTATTTACAAGGTGTTTCAAAGTTGGCCCGCGCGGGCCGCTGCTTGGCTCGGCTGGCGTGGCGTTCGTTCGGTAATTGTTTCCCGCCCCGAAGTTCGCTCGCGCGCGCGGCCCGCCCGCCCGCCGCCACAATCTTAGTGTACACCGCAGTCGGTACGTTTCAGAGTTAAGCACCCCTTTCGCGCGCCCCGCCCCGCGGGGGCCGTGATTTTGGGTTTAAGTTTTTAAGTTTGGAGCTCCGCGGTGGCGGTGGCGGTGCGGGGCTCGGCGCGCTCATGAACATCGCGGGGCGTTATATTGGCGACCTTTATTATGGAACTTGGCTGAGACTAGTCGTTGCCTTAATGGCCGTGTCTCGTGTTTAAATACCAGTGTCAAGCGGGCCGAGCCGAGCACCTGCCGCTCCCGCCGCTCCTTCTCTCGCGGGGTGAAAGTTTGGCCGGCTCATTGTCCTTGTCGTAATAGCCGCTCGGGCAAATGCAGGGCAATTCCAGGCTTATTCCAGGCAGACAGGCCCCGCCCTGCCCCGCCCCGGCCAGACGGATTGCTGGAGTGGGGCCCGGGCGGCGCCATCTGGAGCTGAGCCCGGGAGAGCCCGGCTGACACACGTCGCCCGGGAATGGGTCCTCCGCGGTCCTTGGCGGCACCTGGATGCTGGCGGGGGATAGCTAATCTGGACTCTCCTGAGACTCCAGGGGCTCCAGGAGCTCTCCCCCAAGGCTCCAGCCACCTGGGCGCTCTTTTGTCATGCTGCACACCCGCCGCGTTGCGGTTCCCCCTATTCCTCTGCTGTTCTTTCTTTAAAAAAAAATAAAAAAAAAATATTATTAATTTTCTTCCTCTAATAATGCCTTGTCTTGTTTGTCGCAGGTGGTGGTGGAGAGCTCGACGTCCGCCCTGGAGTACGGCGACACGCCCGTGGACACGGGCTCGCTCGTCAACGCCGACCTCCACTTCGACCCCAAGTTCATGCACCTCTACGTCATGACGGAGCGCAAGGTGAGTCCCACACTGTTATTTCTCTCCCTTCTGTTATCTTTAGCTACTTTTTGGAAAGAATCAGGTCGTCCCGGGTCCCGGGGTCGTCGCGGAAACAAGGGAAAGGTGAAGAAAAGGTTACCTCTTAATAATGCAGAAGCAGCAGCAGCAGCTGCTGCAGCCGTGCGGCCTGTTCCAGGTTAGGTTCCGCCCCCAATTTTTAAGGGCCACGGGTATTACCATTTTCCGTGCGCCTTTACAGACCGCCGCTGCCGGCCAGGGTCGGGGCGCGCCGGGCCGGGTCGGGGTCGTGCCGGCCTATAAACCCTGGTCGCGACCTCTGCACCTTGCGTGGTCCTGGAGGCCGCGGCCGGGCCGGGCCGAGGCAGGCCCGCCTCCAACCGGGTCACAGCTTCTCAAAGATTCCTCATGAATTTTAAGCGCGCTGCTGCATTCCTCGGAGACTTGGCACATAGTGTTTGCCTGGGGACGGCGAGGGAAGGGGGTTGGTCGCTTTTTGTCCACGCTGACCTCAGAGGGGGGGGGGGGCTGTCATCTCCGGCGTTGCAGCCGTAGGGAAATCTGGGCTAACGGGTGCGGAGCAGGGCGGGGGAGGGGAGGGGGCTATTTGCAGTCCAATTATCGTTACCGGGGGAAGAAGTCAGCGGTACACAGACGCAGCGCCATTTTCACTGCTCATTTGTATAAAGATGTCCTTAATAAATCTTATGGCAGTTCTTTTTTCATTATTTTTAATTAAAGGGGGGCACGCGCGCTATTTCTCGCTTTTAAAAAAACATAAAAATGTGGCGAAATCATGAGCCCATCGCCCTTTCCCACGAGCGGAGAAGTTGGCTGCACTTCGGCCATAGGATGGGCAGGCAAGGCGTCGGGCTGGCCTCCCTTCATTGGCCGCCCGACTTTGCCGTGACTGCTGGCTGCTGTAGCTCCGGCCGGCCCGCCGGCAAGTGCCAGACTGGCTTGCTTTACAACATTCGCAGCGCCTCTGCGTGGCTAATCTTTCTCTCTCTCGCTCAATTTCGCTACCCTCTCGCTCTCGCTCGCTCGCTCGCATTCACTCACTCACTGCTGTAGCTGCTGCTGCTGCTCCTGCTGCTGGAGGAGGCAACAGAATGGAGGGAGCAAAAGAAAACAGAAGCGGCCTGGTGGGCGGGCAGGCCCGTCCTGGTGGCCCAGCCTGGTGGGCCCTGCAGCAGCGAGCACAGCACAGCTTTATGGAGGCAGGGCTGCGCTCCGTGATAAACATTGCCCCGGTCAGCAGCGGGAGGCCGCCCCGCAGCTCAGGGCCGCGCGCCGGGCGGCGCCGGAGATGTGCGGCTATTACTCGGACGATGCATGCATCAGTACAGAAAACAAGCATCGTACAACGATTGTTGGGACATGAAGACGGTACCTCCTCTAATTTTTTTTCAATTATTTGTTGTTGGCTGTCAGCTGTCACAAACTCACAATAAGGGGGCACGCTTTGGTGTTAGATAGCGAGTTAGCGACTAGCCAAAAGTTTTAGCCCCCGTTTACGCCCATTCTATGCTCGAAGTCTGTGTGGGAATCATCCTCCTCCTTTTTCGTCGGTTTTCTGCGGGTTGTAAACAGGCGCGTGTCCCTCTACTTTTGCAAGTGGGCGGCATTATGCCCCGCTCCCTTGTAGTCGCCCTGCTGCACCCCTGCAGAGTGGCACTCTTTGCCATGGTGTGGTTGTGACCCCGTTCCAGCAGCGCTGCTCCCATAGCAGCGGCTGGTCGGGGCGCGGGTGCCGCGGCTGAGCGGAGCAGAGTGGCGGCTGCAGTCCACTGTCTTATTTTATAGAGATGGGTCCCCCCCGCAGCTTGCACCCTTCCTCCCCTCCTCCTCTCCTCCTCTCCTCCTCTTCCCCCCTCCCTCTTCTTATCGCGAGGCGGCGGCGGCGGAATAGGTGAGGGTGATAAGGACGTATGTGAAGGGCCCCCTCCAGGAAGCTGCGGGGCCAAAGTGCTTCCTACGCCGCAGAGGGACTTTATTAGAATGATTGCGCGCTCCTCGGGAACACGCCAAACTGCGTCAGGGCGAGAAATTGTAACGTGCCTATAAACTTGACTTATCCCCATCAAAAGTAGCTTTCAAAGACTCAAACTTTTAACTTTTGGTATCTCTAATTATTGTTATTCTTGTTTCTTCCCAGGTTTCCAAGGTGAAGGTGCAGGACTGCGGCCAGTACAAGACCTGTGGAGACTGCCTCGGAGCCCGCGACCCGTACTGCGGCTGGTGTTCGCTGGAGAACAAGTGAGTATCTCTACCCGTTGCACAAAACCCAGTTTGCGCAGGGGGTCGCAAATAGCAGTGAATGGCCTGTTTGGATGATGTGTCGCGACGCATCGCCGCGGTCCGAACCAGTCGGACATTTATTATCCCCCCCCCCTCTTTCCCCACGTAATATGCTGCTGATTTTCAGTTTTATGTACGGCCTATCTCTCACTTTTTTTTTAGTCCGCGTCAGTGGGGCGGTGGATTTGTTTTTTTTTTTGCGCTGTTATTGGCGTCGCTGAGTCCTCCAATGGGGCCTGCGCCACGCTGCGCCACCCGGCGGCGCTCCGCGGGTCTGGTGATTAGCGCGGGGAGTTAGGACCCCTTTGGGGGCCATCGCACTGTCCGTCAGATCAGAACGCTGGCCAACTCCCGCGCCCCCACCCCGCACCCCCCACTGCCCACCCCACTACTAACCCCACCCTTCCTATCTCACCCCCACCACCATTATTGCCGGCGGGATCTGCCAGAATCACACCCTGTCAGGATTTGCCAGATTCTGTCAGAGTTGTCATGGAGCTGTCAGGCAGGCCTCGAGGCGTCGCCGCCGC